CAGCCCTCACTTTCCCGAGCTCCCACTCAGCCCCCGTCACCTGCAGTTAGCTTTTCTCCACTTTTCCCTTCCAGAGACCTCCGAATGTGCACGGCCCGGGATGGCTGTTTCTCCTGGGGTTGCGTGAGATTCCGTGGTTTCTGCTCTCTGTGCTCCTGGCGATGCGGGGTGTGTGTGGACTCAGGACCATTTCATTTTCCAGTCCGTAATACAGACAGTAAACGTGTCGCACCGGTGCGGAGGAGGTGGCTGGGGACTTTGAACCTGCACCCGTTCAGGATGGAGACAGGAGAGGGCCGAGGAGGCTGGGGATGAAGTTGCAGACAAGGGGCTCGCAGAGCCTCTCCACACCGATAGGCGTCCCGGGGACCAGGTTAGGACAGACACGGTCTCCTGAGTCTCACTGCTGCTGATGAGGGCTTGGAAGATCAGGGTGGTGATCATTAGTGCCTAGCAACCTGGGGGACAGCATTGTGGCTCCGGGGCACAGGGTACTGGAGATCTGTGGTCCACACCTCCTGCATCCTCAGAGCGCCCTCCTCTGGCTCTCAGCTGCATGGCTCCCCTTCTGTTGGTATGGCACCAGCCTGGCAGGAAAACTGTCTTCCCAGCTACTGCACCCCAGCATGCCGACACCACGCACCTGGTGCTCAGCCTCACCTGCTCTTCCCCCACCTCCCACCACCCTTGGAGGAGGCGGGTGAGCAGGAGAGATTCACAAAAGCTATCACAGTGAAAGACGCACGAATCCGCCTCAACACTCCCCATCTCACTCTGAGCACACTCACCCCATTCTTGTCACTTTCTACAGCAGCTCTGGGGTCTTCTTTCCTGAGTGTCTTTATGAGGTGTGATCAAAAACACGGTGAATGCTGCTGCTGAGCTCCAGCCAATGGAAAACCAGCTTGTAAGGACCTGACTGTGTCCTCATCCACCTTGTGCACCGGATCAGGCTCTATGCACCTTCTGGCTCTTCCCCAAAGTCAAGACGAGCATGAAAGGGAAACAGTTTTAATCAAGTTCAAGACATCAGCGCAGTTAGCACAGCACAACCGAGACACTCAGAAACGAGGACTGCAGAGCTGCTGCGGGAAGCGGCAGGACGATGGGATGAGTGTTTGAAGTGAGGGGGGATTTCGCGGGCGTTCAGGGCTGCGTGTCTTTTGTGTAATAATGTTTGTAATGTAAATATTCATGTAGTTTTCGTCACACCTCCTGTGTGCAGAGCCGCCTGCATGCCCGCTGCCTCGGTCCAGGGCTTCTCCCCCAGGTGGCAGGAAGGGCTCGGGTCGTCTCGGGCCGTCCCGTGCCCACTGCAGTCCGCCTCAACCAGCAGCCTCACCTCTGCTCTCGGACACCAGACATGGGGACAGGGCTCTTCTGCAGCCCCTGGGACCCAGGCCTCAGGTCCTGGCCTGTATCCCTTCCCTGCAGGTCTCTGGGAAGTCCTGTCCTACGCCTGTCCACTCACTTCTGCTTCTCCCGGCACACTGGCCTCCCAGTGTTCCCTGAGGGGCTGGTCCCACAAGCTTCTGCCCCCACCCGCTGCACACCTTTGTCACCACCTCCAACACCTTCCTTCTTCCTCTCTTCCTCCCCTCCTTCCTTCCTCCTTCTTCCTTCCTGTCTCGTTCTGTCCCCCGACAGAGTCCCAGGACTGGATCTGATCTCTGCCCTTCTACACTCTAGCACACAAAGGGTCCCAGAGCACTGTTTGTGCTCAATCAGCATTGCTGCATTGACCCAGCCTGAATGCGGGAGCCCCTGGGCCCCTGGACAAGACAGAGGGCTCCGCCACGGCCATCACCCCCACCCCAAAGCACACTGAGACAGAAAGCGCAAGCTGAGGGTGCTGAGGCTTCCTGCTCACAGTCGTGGGGCTCCGTCCCGGAAGGAGCACAGCAGGGTCTGCAGGGGACAGAGAGGTGGCTCGGAGTGAAGTCCCCGAGGCCCCGTCTCAGCGGTGACACAGTGAGATGAGGCCCTTCTACCTAGAGATGCCACCTTGCAGGTGACACTGACATCCCAAAGACACGACTTTTAATATCACCCTAAACACAGTATCTCAGCCCTGTCTAAGATGATGTTTTTGTCTTTTCAGTTGAAATGTTAGAATTACACCATTTTAGGTGTCAAAAGAACAATACAAAACGAGGGGGAAAAAAGCACCAAAGAGCAAGATTTTCCTTCTGACTTGTTCATGCGATGTTCACACGCCAGAATTACATCAATTAAATTCTTGATGGTAATTAACAAAGTTCTGAAAAGAGACAATTATTGGGGAGAATAAAGAGGTAACGAGTGATTTTGTATGACTTGGGTTGGTGGCAGAAGTCTTGGTCTCCCTGCGGGCACGATTAGGGTACACTTTGGCATGGTCTGTGCTCACCACTGCAGAGCCACGGTCACCCTGAAGCCCACCAATGAGGTTCCCTCCCTCCACCCCTCTGCGCACCTCTAAGACGGCCTGGACAGCGGGATTTTCCCTTTCCGGCCTTGCGCGGTCAGTGTCTTCCCCAGAACAAGTCAGGCCCAGGCCGGATGGTTGTCCCTGGACTCATCACGGGTGACAGAAAGACAGTGTCCGCAGGAGACCGCCCAGGTTCAGACTCCAGCTTGGCCCCTTGTTCCTCCCCTGTGGTTCTGAGAGCCGCTGTCACAGCAGCACACACAGGGAGCCCACAGATGTGGAAATTCACACACTCCTGTTGCAGGAGGCCAGAAGTCCAAACCTGGGGAGTCAGCAGGGCCTCCCCCACCCAAGGCTTGGAGCCCAGGCCTGCCTGGCTGCCTCCCAGCCCCGGTGGGGGCCCTCGGTCCTCGGCGCGCCTTCCTCACTCCGCCACCACTACACGGTGTCACGCTGGTGTCTCACTTCCAGTCATCTCTTTATGGACGTGAGTCGTGTTGACTTAAAGCCACCCTGGAAGTCTCAAGCTAAGCTGATTGCTCTGCAAAGATCCTACTTCCGGACAGTCCTCAGGTGCTGATTCTTCAGGGAGGCAAAAATGAACTCATCACCATCTCTGTCCTGGGACAGATGACTTCCAACCCCGGCTGTCTCACTCTGACCAGAGGGGTGGCCATGCAGGCTCCTTACGCCTGTGAGGGGTCTGTGTGTGACACTGAAGGCCCTTTGCTCTCATGCTGGGGAAAGACCATCGTTTCCTGTCTCCTCCCCACTTCCTGTTCCATGGCTTCCGGTGATGTCATTTTCTTCTTTCACTTGCTCCCTGCGAAGGCAAATCTAGTGGACACCGTGGACTCTGCACATGGCCTGAGCCACTTGGAGGAGAGATCTGCTTCAGAGTAGAGGTGCATCTCACCCAGAGGAACGTACACAGGCAGCACTGACCCTGAATGACCCTCACCCCGCCTCCAGGCGGGTAAATGCTCCTGGGTGACTGGCCAGGGGCCTCCGAGCACGTGTGCTGTGAAGTTGGGTGCTGAAGGTTCAGTCCGGCTCCCCATGCCAGGCCCATCACAAGTGCTGCACAACCCCTCCCTTGTCCCTGCCCACCCCCGGGGGAGCTGGGCTGAGCATCATCACCCAGGCAGCCGCGCTGGCGCGAGTGGCAGCACCCTGAGGGCTGGCCAGCGCCAGCTGGGAGGTGCACACCGCAGCCTGGGCCCCTGCCCAGCTCCGACCCGCACGCATGTGCTGCTGCAGCCGCCCGCTGCACCTGACGCCCCTTCCTCTTCGTGCCGTGATGAAGGCCAGGCGCAGACACAGCTGCCAGGTCAGCTGACAGAGTAAGAAGTGACGTTCTTGTCCCTGTCCACAGCAGGTGAGGTGGGGACATAGACTAGCAAGACGCTGTGGAAATCAATGTGGAGATCCTCAAAAACTAGACCTAGAAATCCCTTCCAACCTGCTGCCCCTCTTCCAAGCATCTTCCTGAAGGATTAAAGACCTCACATTACAGTGACCCACACACACCCAGGTGTACTGCAGCACAGCTCATAATTACTCAATCTTGAAAGCTGCCTATGTCTGTCAGAAGGCAAACGGATAAAGAAAATGTGTTTACACACAATGGAGTACTACTATGCCATAAAGAAGGGTGAACTGGAGTCATTTGTAAACAAAATGGATTCACCTTGAGACCATGTTAAGTGAAATAAATCAGACACAAACTGAAATGTCACATGGCTTCTTTTACATAAGTTACCCAAATTGTAAATAAAGAGCAAAATAAAAGATATGTAATAAAAGCATGGAGATACATCTTTCTAAAGTGGGAAGGGGACCGAGAGATGGAGAGAGGGAACAGAAGAGGAGGAAAGGGGATGAAAAGGGAATTAAAGTGTGCGTGGGTGTGCAACAGCTCCACAAAGAAGTGTGAGCTTCATGTACTGCAAACGTGGGCTGGTAAAATAAATAAATAAAATAACAAAAACGTTTTCAAAGTCATTTTGAAAACTCTATAGGGAACTATTATGTAGCTGTGAATCTCAGTTAGGGAATGGAAGGTCATTAGTCCAGGGTTCTTTCTAAACTAAAACTGTCCCTAAGAACATTTGAAATATTCAGTACCTAAAATATGATGATGCTATCCTATCACTCATTTAAATAAAACTTATAGATATTTTGACAGTTCTTTGTTAGGGACCCTAACAACGTCTAGATTCACTTTCAGGTGGTAGTAAAAGATGCTTGAGTTTCTTAAAAAGGTGTATTTTTAAAAAGCAAACCAAATGTGTAGCTAACAAGTAACAGATTAATGTTTATTCTCGTGGAATGTTCTTTGAATAAATGATTCGCATTCCTTCGTGACGGCACTAAACATAAAGCGCTGGAATATGTATCTGAGTCATGTTTGAAGTCACTTATGTGTAAAAGGTACAGTCCTTTCACAGTTCACCAGTGAAAGGGGTCTTAGGAGTTCCGGGGTAAAGTGAGGACGTTCTGAGAGTGGATGGGACAGGGCCATCCCTGCAGACTGCATTCACCTGCTCATCAAATGCCGAACCTCACCCTGTCACTGCTGTTTCCACAGATACAAGCCCTTGGCCGAGACCCTCCCAGGTGGGAGGAAGGAGCCGTCTGTGGAGGAGAGATGCAGGCTCGTTCTCCAGCAGTGCAAGCTACAAGGCTGGCAGGTTGGTCCCCTCCAGGCTCAAGGCCACCACTGGGATCGTGAGGAGGAGGGGGAGGGGGCACCAGAGGCTCCCCAGGGAAAGCCGCCTCCTCTGAAGACAGTAAGTGTGTTCCCCAAAGTGTGTTCCGGGAAGCACATCAGCCTGTGAAACATGGGTGTCATCCTCATGCAGCTGACACACAAGGGACCCAAGACTCCCTCAGAGCAGGCTGAGAAGCCAGGGAGGCTCCATGTGGTTTACCTGCGTCTCCATCTCCACTGGTCTCTAAAACATTTGAAAGAATCAAAAAAGTTTCTGTAAGAGTCAAATTCCAGTCACTGTGACAAAACACCCAAGACATACAGTGTACAAGGACATAAAGTCCACCTTTGCCAAAGGCTAGATCAGACAGGGAGGAGGAGGAGCAGGAGGAGGAGGAGGAGGGGGAGGAATTACTAACGGAGGATGACGTCAGCCAGCCACTCCAGAGTCAGTGACACAGGCGTGGGAGTCACAGCTAGCTTGCTTTGTCATCTTGCAGGTAACGGAAGTCATTTCCACTGAATCATCGCTGCAATTTTTAGATAAGGAACTGTGTATGTATAGTATTGGCTCATAAGTAACATGACACTGAGATTTCCAGGTTGCCGCTTTTTCCCTTTAAAGAGTACTCTTAAGAATGTACATACCCCCCCACACACACACACACGTGTGCATACTGAGAAGGCAAAGGAATCTGAAACAGATCCTTCCGCTAAGACAGTGGTGACGGTTACCGCGGTGCCCAGCGGCTTCGCCCGTGCAGGTGAAGGGTGGCCCTGGGCATGGAGGAGGCGGGAGACGCATCACACCTCTGCATCTGTCCGCGCTGGGCAGCACGCCGCGGCTGAGGATGGTGTTACATACACACTGGGATTTTGACAGTGAGCATCAATTCCTTAAGAGGGTCACCGTTTCCGTTTTATTGCACAAACCTATTTTCCCCTCACTTCTTAGCACCACCAAAGGAGGCTGCAGGTGTGAGGGAAGGCAGAGGGGAGAGAGGAGCAGGTGAGGGAGCATGGGGAGAGGAAGAGGAGGGAGAGCGCTGAGAGCTACGGATGCTTATTTCACTCCCAGAATGTCTTTGCCAGCGGGTGCGAATTGTCTAGTTAGTGAACACTGTTCTTCTCTGGCTTCAGGCTGGAACCCTTTACATATTTTAAGCAAATAATTGACTTTGCAGAAATAAATTCTGTTCGTATTTCACTTTTACATTAGACATGAGGGGCATTTTCTGTTTAAAACATGCTTATCCCCAGCTGCAAGTCAGACTTGTGAGCGTGCAAAGCGCACGCCTTGTTGGGAGGTGCTGCTGGCCGTGGCGGGGCCGCTGTGCACCCCTCCTGGGACGCTGGCCCCGCCCCAGTGGACGCTGAGGGCCTGTGGATCACTTCCAGCCTGCCGAGTCCCAGCCTCAGCGCTTATCCTTTGCCCTTGGGTGGTTGGCCTAAAATTAACGGATGTTCTTTTCCAGATTTTTAAGAGCAATTCTAAGTGATGGGGGAAATTGGAGTCATTTTTTGCTGTGTAAAGCTATACAGAGTATTAGCAAAAATTTTTTCTTCATTATTTTCTTCATTGTTTTCTTCATTATTTTCTTCATTTTTTTCTTCATTATTTTCTTCATTATTTTTTCTTCATTATTTTCTTCATTATTTTCTTCATTTTTTTTCTTCATTATTTTCTTCATTAAAAACATCCTTTTATTATTCTAATGGGTCTTGGAAGTCTTGTGGATTTTTAGCCCTCGTTGAATTTAATCAGACATAGACACGGGCAGCCTTAAGTCAACAGGGTGGGAACCCAACCAGACAGTGCTCACACTCTTTCAGTGCACCGTAGCAGGCTAGAATTTCCTTCTGTCTCAGGCCACATGGATATACATCTCTCTTCCTTCCTTCCTTCCTTCTTTCCTTCCTTCCTTCCTTCCTTCCTTCCTTCCTTCCTTCCTTCCTTCCTTCCTTCCTTCCTTCTCTTTCTCTTTCTTTCTTTCTGTACTGGGAATTGAACCTAGACTTCTCATTAAGCCACATCTCCACTTACTTTATTTTGTTTTATTTTTGCAACAGGGTTTCATTAAGTTACTCAGTTGCCCAGGCTGGGCTTGAGCTTGGGATCCTCATGCCTCAGCTTTCAGACAGCTGGGATTAGAGGTGTGCACTCCCACACCCAGCTGAGACAATTTCTTTTTACTGCCATTATGTTGCCATGTGGCCCACGCAAGCTATGTACTTTGTATAGGTTTGGAGTCTAAGTATGAGGAATGGTTAATGAACAATAATTCATCTATATAGCACGTGGCAACTACCCAGAGCTTTTTTTTTTTTTTTACTTATTTTTGAACATTTCATCCCAATGACAACTCTGAGGAGTAAGAGGGAAGGAGGCAAGGTGTGTAGCAATGATCTCATTTCTGATGTGCAAAGACTGAGGCTCGGAGCCCTCATCTTAGAGATGTGTGCGCTGATCAGAACCGCAGCTGCAGTTAGTGTTGACCGTGCTTGAGCAGCCCCTCTGCTGAGGCGAGCGTGGAGCCCTTCCTGTGTCGCTTGCTCTCCACAAGGCTTACCCAGACCTGTACCTTTTCTTATCGCAATCAGAGTCCTTTTGTTCAGATTTCAGAATTTGAAAGGGGCAGATCACGCACCCAGCCTCGCTCTGGGCGGAGGCTCTTCTGCGTGCCTTCCTTGAGGGGCAGCTGCGGCCGGTCCCTGGCATCTTGGCCATGTTTATAAATCGCCAGTAGAGGAAGCAAAAGCAAGCAGTGCTTCTGTCTTCAGGGGACTCTGATGAGTCTCTTACCCCAGACTCACTCCACGGAGCCTGGGGACCACTGCGCATTGCACTGGGGAACCAGCTGCTCCCTGAGCAGCAGAGCAGAAGGGGAAGAGCTTGGGGCAGGCAAAGGAGAGGAAAGGCTCGGGCTCCTGTGGAGCTGGGAACCCCTCCGGGTCTGGAGCAGACTCTTGGAAGCCACTGAGCTCTTTTGAGGCCGCAGCAGGGGTGGGACACAAGCCACGGCTAGCCAGTGGGCAGGGGAGAGCCCTGCTCGGCCCGGTGTGTGAGGTGCTCGGACAGTAGTTTCCTTACACGCTGGTGTCAGGGATGCCAGCTTGCGACATGCAGGCTATGCTCCAGGGAGGCCTTCCAGGCTTCAGGGCTGCTCCCAACCTTGTCCTGCCCTGCTCCTCCACTGCACCTGTCCCTCCCTGTGCCTTCTGCACCTCTGTGGGTGGCATCTCTGCCCTGTGTGTGGAATGGCAGCCCATCAGGAGGGGCCCGGGTGGCTGGATGACCCACTGTAGGAAGAGCTGAGTGGGCTGTGCACCCAGGACCTTAGTGTCTTTGGGACCAGGAAGCTACAACCAACACTCTCTCTATGTGTGACACAGACAGAGGAGAGCTTTGCAGATCGAGTCTAAGGGCCAGGGATGTGGCTCAGTGGTACAGCACCTGCTCAGCATGCACAAGGGCCTGAGTTTGATTCCTGGTACCTAATAATAATAATAATAATAATAGAAAAAATGAAAATCAGATCTAATATACAGCAGATACCTACCTGGTAATGTCTAAGGACTTGTTTGTTTTGAGATGAGAATCAAATGCAACTTTAGTTGGCACCTATAAGATAAATGTATTAATGCAGTCCTGCTGTGATTAAACTGGTTTTAAAATTTGTATTTGTACATAGCATACTTTAAGCAGGGACTGTGATGTAGGTGCAGATTAACTGTTTTAAGCCTTGGTGACAAAACCGTCAATCACACCATGTTGCTGGAAGGCAGTTTTGCTAAGACGTCATTTCCGCCGCAGCAGCTGCGCACAGCTGCTCACGGGGTCCTCCAGCCCTTGGCTCTGTTTGAACTGGGACCACAGGTTTTGGCAAACTCATGTGTATTACTGTTCCCTTGCACTCAAAGTCTTTGCCTTTGTGTAATGCGGCATTCTTCTAGAGAAAGGTGAGGAGAGTCAAGTGTAGCGATGGCTGGGAGAGTCCTCCTGGGCCCTGGTTTCTGTGGAATGACACAGCTCACAACGAGAGAGGCTGCCCAGGGCACTGTCCTTATTAACGAGGCAGAACTGGGACAACTTCTTCACTAAGAGAAAGGATTTGAATGACTTCCGGTCCTCTGTTCTGTGTCCGCCGATATATTTTTCTGAATGACATGTCCATAGATGACTCCTTTTGGGGGGAAAACAAACAGTTCTTCACCATCTGTTGTTCACTTGATTCTCATATCATCCTGGTATTTCATTTATCCAAACAGATGCATTTGTAACTCTGCGCTCCCGTAAGGTCCCTGTCCCGCTCTGCCCTCCTGAGCTCTGCCTCTTTCTAACGAAACGCATTTTTACTGGATCGCCCATGCCATCGATGGGCGAGGAAGGCCTGGTGGCCCGAGTGGAACACAGTTGTTTTGCATGTTATGTCATTTATGGGAAATGAAAGCCTTTGAAACTAATTCTAAATGGAGAAATAAGTGGTATAATCTGATTTTCACACGTTTCTTATGCATCCACTTATTATAGGATGGTTTCTTCTCTGTGGTTATCTGAGGGCTATATTCATTTCCAGCCATCTGGAGGGATGGTGGATGGAAAGCAAATCTGTCGCAGCAGGTCCCGAGTGGGTCCCTGAGAAGTCCGAGTGCCACTCGGCCCAGGCACAGGGAGCCAGCCAGGGAGCGGGTAGGGCATGGTGCCAGTGCTCCTGGGCAGGAAGGCTTTCAGATTCAGGGTGCCACTCTGCAAAGGGTATCAGGCAGAGAACCGCCACCTTGTGGAAAGGGAGCTGGGTACAGGCAGAGGAGCATCCCGGGGGATTATGAGGCAGCTGCCCCCCGAGGTGGTGCAGGATCAGTTTGGGGTCCAGTCTCAGAGACAGCCTGTGTCCAGGAGCTAAAGCATGAGTCAGGATGCTTCAGGGCTCAAGAGGGACAGCAGGGACAGGAAGCAAGAAACAAAAGTAGAGCCCAGCT